CCCCCGGGAACTTGGTGACTTGGACTGGCAGGCATCTCCTAGAAGGCCCAGCCTGGTCACCTTTCCCAGTTCCAGCCCTGGCCCCTGAAGCTGCTCCTTGCTTCCCTCCNCGTGCGGAAGACTGAGTAGGTGGGGGCCCGGGGGCCGGGCTGGGGTTCAGAGGCGTGCCTCTGGAAGGAGCGTCCGAACTGCAGGGCCTTGTCTTCTGTGGCCACCGAGGCCAGGCCGGCCAGGCCCTCCAGCTCCAGGTCTGCCTGCACGCCGGCCGTCACGCTGTTGGAGCGCTTGAACCTCGCCCGCCTGGCGACAGAGACGGCTGTCATCTCTGCCCTCGCCCAATATCATCCCAGCCTTCAGCCCCAGCCCAGGCTAAAAGGAAACCTACAAAGTGATCCCCGACCTTTAACTATATTAGTCCTTGCAACAGGTAGATACATAATATGCCTACCTGTTGCACTGGCCTCTGGACAGGGTGATACTTAAAACTTAACCTGTACAGAACAGCTGCTGGCAAAAGCCAATGAAAACAGGCACAGCTCAAGCCCTAGAGCATCACCCTGCAGAAGTGGGATTGGGGGCGGGGTCTCAGAGGGGCCAGGGAGGGGTCAGGGTGGTGGCTCTTTACCAATGAATACAGAAGTGTTTCAGCATTTTAACAAATTCTATGTCTTTGCTAATTTACACCAGCTGTACAGGTATGTCCCAGGCCCTGCAGAGAGATGAGTAAATTAAGGCCCAGAGAGGCCCATGGACCCCCAGCTACAAAGTAGCAGAGCCAGGATTCAGACCTAGGGCTGCTGCTCGCTCCACAGCCCAAGTACTTCCCAAGGTACCAGCTGCTGGAACATCGGGAAGAACTGCCCTGGAGCAGCTGGGGGAAGGGCGGTGGAAGCAGCTGGGAGGGCTTCTCTAGGGACCTCACTGCTCAGCCCAGAGCCGGGCCAGACACAGTCAGCGGTGCCCGTGGAGTCGAATTAAGTTGTTGGCAGCAACGACATAAGGCCTTGAAATGTCTTGTCTTTGAGTTCATAATATGCAAATCATATGCAAAACAGAACGTCAATTGGTCTTGTTCTTTTTCCCCCTTGGGTTCTATGAAGAAGTCAGTGGCCCCTGAGATGCATGAGGCTGGGGTCAGACAATACTTGAAGTGGGAGTCAGGAGATGTGGGGGTGGGTGGAGTGGTGAACAGAAGTTTGAGGTCTGGAAATTCAAAGACCACAAAAGAAAGGCTCATGTGTCCTAAGCAACCTCTACTGTTACACTGTCAAGAGACAGGGGCGTGGGGAGGTTCCCCCAACCCCCACAACTTCAGCCTTCTTCCTGCTGTCCAGGCCTTCTCTCCCTGCCTGCCTTGCTTGCCTGCTTCCCTCCAGCTGGCGGGCTGCCTGCTGGGAGCCTGTTGCCATAGAAACCAGGCCCAGAAGGATGCTGCAAGACCCAGGAAAAAGAGATGCACTCATGTGCGGTCTCCAACAAGCCCTATGTCCCAACCCCCACCCAGAGAGAGAGAGAGAGAGAGAGAGAGAGAGA